AGATGTGTATAAGCCTAGCCTATAATGCCTAGCATAGGGCTTGTTTTCGCGGTACCCTGACCATTAAAAATTAGCAGACGCACTGGAAGCGTTGTTCACGGCATTGGACTGCAGCGAAAAATGATTCCCCATCATTAATGGAACAGGCCCACGTCACGCTTGGCTGACTAGTTTTGATTTACATTTCTCATGTCTTGTGTTGTTGTAAAATGTATTTCAAAACAGTCATGCTTGGCTGGTTTGACATGGACTTTTGCTGCTTATGGCACAGACACACAAAATGTAAATCATACGTATGTCGAAATTTCGACATAATAAGTCGTAATTACGACATAAAAATATATATTTCATTGGCCCTTTCGTTCGGAATGCCTAAAAACCCAAGACCAAGTCAAAATACCTAAGATCTTGGGTAACTACCTAAGCAGTGGTCACACTGTTCTGTAATAACGCATGGATGGAGCCTTTTTGTAAAACTTTTGAACCTTGACCGCTCTCCGCTTTACGGGCGTTTACGGGGCCTTGTGTTCAGCGTGACCACTGCTTGGGTATTTACCCAAGATCTTGGGTATTTTGACTTGGTCTTGGGTTCTTGGATTTTCCGTTCAAATCCTTGGGTATTTTATTTTTACTAAGAAAATTAAATATTTTTGTTATAAAGGAAGAATTAAGAAGTAGCAAAGTATATTTCAGTCCATTCAAGTAAGCAAAACTCAACGAAATGCACATAATATTGTTAATTGACTGTTAATTTCTATAAACATGGGTTCAGAATTGCGATTTTGCGTTGCCATTAATCTTACCTAATTAATGCATTACATAATAAATCTTGATCACTGATCTGCTGATAACACTGGAAAACTGAGGGCGTATTTTCTATCCGTATTATCACCTCATGAATATTAATTTTAATAATTAACACAAACAATTACAATAAAACAATAGTTTATAAATTGAACTAAAAGGGAAACCATACATGCGAAAAACACGTACTTTTCAATTTTAGTGCATTTTCAGGAAGCTTGGGTAATTTTGGGCAATTTTTGCCGAATCTTGGGTAATTTCGACCCAGTCAATTGGTATATCAAAAATTGTGAGTGGTCAACCTGCTTGTGTTTATAAGATCTTTGCTTTCAAGGAAGATAACTCAAGGGGCCCAGCCGCCCTCCCCCATTCTGATTCTTTTTTTAAATTATAAAAAAAATAGAGAGGAAAACAAGAAAATTATATTTAAATTTAAGTCAGAGAGTGCCATTTCGAGTCATTCAGAGGTGTCATAATCATAAATTGTCTTACCTCAGTCCCAACCATGGTGGGCTTGAGGTGATGGTGAGTGGTGACACCTTATCTGTGAAAGTCCTTTCCCGGGCTCCTCTATTTCAAAGAGTAAACCCGAGAGCATACCCTTTTTCCTGGACTCCTCCTTCTGGAAATGTCTGGATCCGCCCCTGGATGTACGAGAAGTCAACTTGAGGGTTTTGTAAAAGCCGACCATTAACTTAGAATGTATATGGCATGGTGTGGCTAGTGCTCGGTATAATTGTTTTTCAGGTCTAGGCTTGTGGATCATCAAGGGTTTTTTTTTTTATTCTTTTTTTCTTTACTTAACACTGACGAAACGCGTATACGGTATATACGGATAAATCATTACGGCTTTTTCCTTTTTTAACATATAAATAAAAATATTTTCATTTGTGTTAATGACTTTACTCAAGAAGGAAGAATCTAGAGCAGTCTGAGCTAAAAACTGGGCCAAACCGATTGATCCGTCTTTAAATTGCTTTATTTAGTAGCGGCTCCCATTTTTTGTGTATTTGTCTGTTTCTAGCAATGTTATTTCCACACGTTTCAGTTCAGTAGATCCATTTTTAAGATATTGAAATTTAATTGTATTTCTTAGATCTTGCACCTGTAAATATATCTTTTGGCAAAAAGTAAAAATATATTTTAAAAAAATAATATTTAAGTTCATATATACCAAAACACACTTCCATATAGGTTATCTTAACAGTTTATTTAAATTGTTAAACCAGTTAACACATCATTCCACAATCGAGAAATTATTTCGCAAGACGACATAAGGCGTTTTTTACGGTTTTTTTTTTTGTTTTTTTTTTCCCATTTTTTTTTTTTTTTTAGAAAATGAGCACTTATAGTCATTGGTTAATAAGGAAGGTATTATCAGAAGCATAACAGTAACTGAACAGTTTGGCGACGCCTCAGGTCTGAGATTAAACAAAGAAAAAACAAATGTTATATGGATGGGAAGACAAAAATAGTAAACTTACACCAGGTAATATTGCTTGGCCATCTGAACTGATCAAAATTCAAAAGAGTTTTGCTTTCAAAAAAATTGGAAAAATAAATTAGTTTCTTCAGAATATTAACAGCATGGGGGAAGAGAAATCTAACTGTGTTTGGTAAACCTCGAAAGAGAATATGACAATGTAAAAGTTGAAGCTGAACATAACCCAGCGGCCCGTTTCTATTATTATTATTATTTTTTTTTATTAATATTTTTTTCTAACAAATCAGTATTTTCAGCAAATGCCCATAGGAGCGCTAACACTTAAGTTTGTCGAACCCCCGACCTTAAAGTTGGGAGTCCAAGCAATTAATCGTTGCGCCAACCGCTCCACTAAATTTCAATAGAAATATGATACTAAGCCTTCACATCTATGTGCTGCATGTTTTCTTACAATGTAATTTTCTTTTGTCCGATTTGAAGCGGTAGACATGTTCGGAATTTCTCGGTCGAAGTTGATTCCGGCTCGACATTTCAAATCAAAATCAGAGAATGGCATAAATTTCTACGGTGGTTATTTAGGAGCAGATTCGTTATCAAATTTCCTAGCCGGTACCGGTTATAACGAAGAGTTGATTTTCAGTGACGCGGTCATGTTTCCTGTCTTGGATACGTTCAAAGTCATTCCTTGGTGGAAATATACTGCACGAGTCTTAATAGAGCCATTAATTGAAGGTAAAGATGTATCAGCCAGCCCTCGATTTCTTGCTAGGCAACAACTAACAGAACTCAAGAAGATGGGTTACAGTCTGCTCTCAGCTCACGAGCATGAGTTTTACGTTGTCAACAAAGACACAAAGAAACCTCTTATAAATGATTCAAATGTGCAATCAACTATCCGATTGTACGAAGGCGCTGGCTTCATTCATCAGCTTGGAGAAGATTTGCCTAAAGTAGGAATCGATATCGAATGCATGGAAACTGAAGTTGGTCCTGGTCAGTTTGAAACCACGTACAAGCCATCATTTGGAATCAAAGCCGCAGACACAGCCTTCACGTACAAAGGCGCGGTCAAAGAGATCGCCATGCAACACGGCTTAATGGCTTCCTTTATGAGCAAACCGTATCCGGACAAAAATGGATCTTCCTGCCACTTTTGCCACTCTTTGTGGGATGTGGAAGGTAACATTCCTCTTACATTTGATGGGCAGTCTCCAGACAAACTATCAAACGTTGCTAAATATTGGATAGCTGGTATTTTACATCATGCTCCAACTCTTAGCCTGTTTATGGGTCCCACCATCAACTGTAGGAAACGGTACAAACCATTTACGTACGCACCAACAAATGGAACTTGGGGTTTTGACAACCGGACATGTGCAGTTCGTGTGAAGATCAACGGTGAATGCGGTTCTTACATTGAAAATCGTATGGGGAGTGCCGGATCAAATCCGTATTTAATTCTATCAGCCACGATTGCCGCTGGAATAGATGGAATCAGACGGAAGCTTTCCCTTCCTGCCGACGTCACTGGATCCGCGTACCTGTTGCACAATGTTCCTGACAAAACACAAACAATACCAACATCCATGCAAGAGGCCGTCGAAGCATTTCTGCAGGACGTAGTCATCAGGGATGCATTTGGCGAAGACTTTGTGAAATGCTTTGTTGCCATAAAGTCTCATGAAATGCAAAAAGCAAAAGAAGCAGACGAAAATGGTGATTCTATGTGGGACTGGAATATGTATTTTAAATACATTTAAAAACATAAACTTTACTGTTTACTGCACAATAAATCTATGGATTTCCAAAGTACTGTAATTTGCAAATTGTAATCGCACCTCCTCCTCTTCCTTTTAGATACTGTCTGTTTTGGACATTTTAGATTTTGTCTGTAAGAATTGGCATATAAATTCATTCTTTGACGTAATTCAACTGTTTCGTATAATTTTTTCACATTGTTATAATTATTTGTGTTGCTTGTTTTTAGAAGTTATAAAATATAGGTGACCAACTTATTGCTATTGAGGGTGGTATATTATAGTCAAATTAAAGCAGCTCCTTTAAAATAATTATGTTTACCTGTAATTAAAGACTACCTCCAATTAAAGACCACCTCTCTGTGGTCCCAAATTAATAAATGTCTTTTATCTTGATTATTGTAATTAGAGACTAAAGCTGCTGAGGAACATGGAAACCCCGGCCGGTCCCAAATATGGTGATTAATTGGAGGAACACCTGTAAGTGGTTATAAATTAGACTTCAGTATAAAATTAACACAATATATGGTATATTACTAGAAAAAGACGATCAAAATCGTTATAATGTTATAGACTCTGTAGATAATTTAGATGGTGAATTTATTTTTAAATACTATTATTCTCTATAAACAGTCAGAATAAAATTTGAAACATTAAAAAGGCGTTTATGGCCAGACTTATAACACATCAAATTATTCAGAGCCATTAACATAAGATGAATAGTTGTGCGATAGCTGCACTAAGTCAGTGGTGGCGCCAGAGGGGGCTACAGCCCCCCCACCCCCGGTCCTGGTAGACGAGTAAATTTTGCCGGGGAATAAACAAATAAAGTAAACTATTTACTTTCATTAAACTATTTGTGTTAATTTTTCATCACAATAATAATAATAATAATGATGATAATAAATATTAATAATAATAGTTCAATGAGACTAATTAAAAATAATGGAACGGCCTTCGTTGGAATTGGATTTATGGGCTCGCGTTAATTAGTATCGCTATGGTTACAGACAGGAAAAGTGGTCTGGGTAACGCGGTGTAGTTTTTAATGCCTTCATAGACGTTAACTAGGTATTTCTACCATGTGTTTGGTAGTACATACCACGCTGTAAGTAGCTATTTTTATTTTCGGGCCCCTTCTCTTTCTTTTAGATACTGTCTGTTTTGGAAATTTTAGATTTTGTCTGTAAAAATTAGCATATTAATTCATAATTCATTCTTTGACGTAATTCAACTGTTTCGTATAATTTTTTCACATTGCTATAATTATTTGTGTTGCTTGTTTTTAGAAGTTATAAAATATAGTTGACCAACCTATAACAGCTTATTGCTATTGAGAGTGGTATATTATAGTCAAATTAAAGCAGCTCGTTTAAATACATGTCTACCTCTAATTAAAGACCCCTCCAATTAAAGACTACCTCAAATTAAAGACCACCTCTCGGTGGTCCCAAATTAATAAATGTCTTTTATCTTGATTATTGTAATTAGAGACTAAAGCTGCTGAGGAACATGGAAACCCCGGCCGGTCCCAAATGTGGTGATTAATTGGAGGTACACCTGTAAGTGGTTATAAATTAGACTTCAGTATAAAATTAACACAATATATGGTATATTAGTAGAAAAAGACGATCAAAATCGTTATAATGTTATAGACTCTGTAGATAATTTAGATGGTGATAGAATTTTTTTTTAAATACTATTATTCTCTATAAACGGTCAGAATAAAATTTGAAACATTAAAAAAGCGTTTATGGCCGGACTTATAACACATCAAATTATTCAGAGCCATTAACATAAGATGAATAGTTGTGCGATAGCTGCACTAAGTCAGTGGTGGCGCCAGAGGGGGCTACCGCCCCCCCACCCCCGGTCATGGAAGACGAGTAAATTTTGCCGGGGAATAAACAAATAAAGTAAACTATTTACTTTCAATTAACTATTTGTGTTAATATTTCATCACAATAATAATAATAATAATAATGATGATAATAAATATTAATAATAATAGTTCAATGAGACTAATTAAAAATAATTTGCGTTCTGTTATGACAAATGCTCGTTTGGATAGCCTCATGATGCTTGGAAAACATCGTGAGGGGAAACAACCTCGACCTTGACAGCGTGGTTGACAGCAGATTTCATGCAAAATTTCCAAAATGTAGAATTTCACTTTCAAGAATGAGGATTTGAAAATAAATTAGATGGGTACATTGCATACTCTCTGTTTCTTGTTATTTCCATGCCTGTCAAATAAGTAATGAAAATTCGCCATAATTCGTTAAATATCCGTCGACTCCAGCCAAGTGAGACTCGATTCGCTCCACTAGCCCCCCACCCCGTCGGGGCCTTTAGCCCCTCCGTCGGGCAGGTCTTGGCACCCACCATCACTGCACTATATAAAATAACAAAGTCAAACAACTTTAACTCATCATCACACAATATTTAATTGTTCTTTTCTCACAAACTCTCTTAAAATATAACTTCTGATAATGTAATTTAAATTTATTTCGAAACAATTAAGATGTTGTACAAGAAATTTAAATAGAATAGAATCTTATTATATTAATTGAATTGTGTATCATGAAGTAGTACATTGCAAATCATGCATTCCTTCATAATTGAGCTGAATACAAAATATATTTTGGAAATGGTGGGACACAAATATATTTGATTGCATTGATCCAACTCCCAAATGTCATTTATTAGAATTCATTTTTCCGGATTGCTATCCTGGTCAATCCGGAAGTGTAAAGTTGACATTACGAGCGTGAGTTGACATTATGTCACATTTGTGATGTGTGAAATGACGTGATTTACTACTACCCGTAAACTCGTGCATTGGCAGTAGACACGCGCTCCCACTGGAAGCCTATTTTTAATACAATTGTACTGACATATACAATAGCATTGTTTAAATGAGACATCAGCAAAACAAGTCACTCCCTTATTACATAATATTAAAAACTCCGAAAAAGAGTCTTTAAAAACAAAAATTGAAATAAAAGAGAAGCACAAATTAATACAGTAATGGACAAATCTATGATTTTGAATTGTATGTAGTTGTTATAAAGATGTATTTCAGTAAAGTATTACTTTGTTGACTTGATATGTACTGGAACCATGAGCCCATATTAAATATTAATAGCGCTGAGAAAAAAGGCTTTTGATGCACTCAATTCACCCGCGACAGAGCAGAGGCTCATGAAATTTAATGTCGAAACATGCAAAAAACCGAATATGGGACCCTTAAAGATATGAAATCATGTAGAACTGCAAATTATATAGGAAAAATACATAAGACCTGATAAATATAATTGTTTTAACCAGAAATGCAACAAAAACTAAAAGTAAATTGGCACGCATAATTAACTATTTAATAACAACATCAGTGATTGCATAACATCTAATCCTTATGGAGGTCGAAAAGCTTGGCTAATTCATTTAAGTCATCATACTCCTTTTCTTCCTTGATAATCTGAAAAAGAAAAACCCAAAGGAACGATGTAAATAAAAAATAATTAAATTCTTTCTGAGCCACTAAAGCCCATATTGCTGGAGCTTCTTATCCCCAGTTTAAAGTTGTAAATAAACTACTACCATATTTGAATCCACTACAAAATTAAAATTATATTGAAACGCAAGGTTAAAGTCAATGGTCCTATTGTTTACATTTATTTCAGATGCAAACAGCGTCTTCATAACTCCCGGTCCTCGTGTAGGATCGATTCGATCATCCTTCTTTCTTACTTTATAAATAGCTATTTTATGACGAGTCCCTGCATGTGCTGTAGCTGTGCTAGGCCCATATGTGCACATTAATATCTTCTTACCCTGGTGTCGTTTGCCCACGCAGGCAGAAGGATGATAAGACAGATAATGATGCTAGAATTAAAATTTTGAGACACACTACCAGAAGTAGAGTGAATAAGTCTACGGCTAATGCAAAAGAATTTGTAGGTCAGTTTTACCAGCACAACAACTTGATCTAAAAACAAGCCTGTAACAAAACGAAGTAGGCCTGCTTTCTTTTTCCAAACAACCTGTAGTTAGTGCTAAAATGTTGACCCAATACAACTGCTTCCACCCATTAAAAGAGTAAATGCAAAGCAATACTAACCTTACGAGCCAGAGGCATTTTATTGAATACATTCCATAATACTAGGCCAACAACTGTCTTATTCTTCACATAAAATACTACACCTTTGCCATAGTCTTCTTCATAATTAGGGGCAGAGAGCTTAGGTTTAACCACCTCACTAGATTTAATGTCTGCAACCTAAAATTAAATTACAGATTGCAAGTTATTAACCATCAACTTCCAGGTGAATGAGTGAAGAAGCAAATCAGAGAAGAGTGAATCAGTGGAGAATTAAGGGTCAGAGTTGCTAAATATAGGACGGTGTGAGTGTAGACACTAGTGTACAAGTGAGTATATGCAAATGAGTGGATGTGCATGCATGGATGAATATGAGTGGAGGAGTGAGTATCTACAGTTGGAGGGAGTGAATGGGGAGGCTGAAAACATCAGAATAAAAGGTGAATAAAACTATGAAGAATTCAATGAGTGAAAGTAAGTTCAAATTCAATCAATCAATCAATCAAGTGAAGGAGTAAAAAGAAATAAGTGAGTATATTGAATGATGGATTGAACAGGTAGAAAATTGAAAGTCTTATTCATGACTTTCTCACTAGTTCCACTGTAGAATAATACAATAACATTTTATGTACCTAAATACATACTGTATTACACATATATATTCAAAATAAAAGTGAATGAGGGAGTGATTAATTCAGGGGCCCCTGGAAGAAGTCGATTAAGGGAGCAGGGTCAGTGCCAGTAGGGGTGGGGGCATGGAGGGTCCTTCACAGTTGTAGGGTCTATAGGACCTCAGCCCCCACCATGTTTTTGGCTGCGGTAAAAGAAAATTTAAGATAATGGCACCTCTAGATGACCAGAAATGGCAATATCCGACTAAAATTTGAATATGATTTTCTTTTTCTCTCACTTTAAATAAAAAAATTTGAACAAATTTGGGGGAGGGGACTTCCCTCTTGAATTCACCACTCATCTGGTTAATGTGATTTCATAACATTTAATTTTTTTGGCTGCACATTGTGATACACATTGGCAATGACTTCTGTGAGACAATTGATAATAAAGCAGTGAAACGTGCAAATAATTTGAATTTGCGGGATATAGGTTATTTTCCAGGAGACTCTTGCTTGCTTGTGGGAATCTGTCCAATTTCCGGGAGACTCCTATAGTTCCAGAAGACCCCTGTGAATTGAGTGAGTGGAACTGCTTCGAAAAAAAAATTATCTGTACCAAAGTACTTATTACTATCCACATACTGTATTATAATTTTTTTTATTGATAAAAACAAAACACATTGACACAAGTGTACAATCAACTGAATTATTAGGAAGGAGAAAATTAAAGTGCACTTAATGAATTTCTTACCTGTTCAGTCTCTGACCTAATACCCTCTCCGGTCTCCTCCACTACTGCCTTAGGGGTGTCTTTATCTGTGGCTTTGGCAAAAACTCCAACTGTTGGTAAACTAGAATCCACAATTCCAATAGCCTCGTACCCTACATCTGGGCCAAGGTCACTCCTATTGAAAACAATGAAATAAATCATATTCAATATTTTAATCACTTTAGCTTAGTTAATACAAATAATAAAAATAATAATAATTATTATTATTAAACTATTTACATAGCGCACATTGCTATAAACTGTCTCGCCAATTAACATCAATTATGTAATTGTTCAATCAGTTAAACAGGAGGCCGCCACTGTGTGTGCGATGAATCGTGGAGATTTTTATGTTTGTCGTTGGTGCCTGGTTGAGTTCCCATTGCTGCTTTTATTGTATCGGGTGGAACGCTGAAACGCAAGTTTACAATAGCGCATCATCTTTCTGCAGTCAATATAGCCCAAGTGCACATAAAAAAAAAGTGCTACAACCTTTGGAAAAGAGTAGGTGATTGTCTCTCAGTGTGCCCAATATAGAGTGCAAAAGGACCCTCCTGGATTTCCATGGGTAATCCTTGGTAATGGTCTCTATGAAATCAACAGACTACAGCAGAGGAACCATCACCAATGCATTGTTTTCTTGCAATTTGAGACACCTGGCAAGTAGCCGTTTGTCAGATTTACGCCAGGTACTCTCTGCACCTGATGCTCGTCGGCCGACACGATTCTATGGAGAACGCTACACCATGATACGCGCGAAACGGATTGTTTTTATGACGACCCGTTTAGACTGCTACTGACATTGAGCAGACGTTGTCGTGTCCTCTTATGCTAACAGGATTAACAGGTGGAGTTACATTCGTTGGCCGATCGTTGTCCGACGCAGTTAGTGCCCGGCCTAAGGTTCACAGATGCTCAAATTATGTCATCATCTAGCTGGCCTATTCTATGAACGAAAAGAAACAAACAAAAACCGAAATGTGGTGTTTCATATCAAATCCAATCAATTTACGAGCGCTCACCAGAACATAGATTGATGCCAGTAGGCCTTGTTGGCCCCAGTCATGTTCTCGCCAGCGAGTCTACCGCTGACCACAGCATGGTCATGGTGCTCAACCCTCCTTCTGCCTAGCTTAATGTCATAAAAACAGGCAGCATCACCAGCCTAGAAAAAAAAAAAAATTTATTAAAATGTTTTATTAATCAGGGATGTAGTTATGGCAGGTGACTATCAAGTCAACAAAAATTACTTTAAATATCACTTTGTTTTGCAAGCTAGCACAACTCACTTAATTATTGAGTCCCCCACTTCACCTTTGTCTCCCCCCCCCCCACCATCAGTCCCTGCATTCCCATTTCAAGACACCTAGCTGTCCAGTTGAGGTTATTTGCAACGGTCTTCCTGGTCACATTTTAGCTTATTAAGACATAGTTATAGGATACTCACAGCCCATACGTTGCTTCTTGCCTCAAGTTCCGCATTGACGCGGTAACCACCGTGAACATCGTCAATCTCTAGGCCTGCTGACTTTGAAAGATCTACGTTTGGCTCTAAACCGACAGCAACAACCACATGGTCAGTAGAAACCTAAACAAAATTAGGAATTAGCACGATAAGGGCATTATGGCTCAGAAATTTTTACATTAGGCTCTGTAATGTAATGTAATGTAGTGGGATTTACTATAGCGCATTACACCGAAGTCTCAATGCGCTAATATAAATTAATAAAAAAGGATAAGAAAATCCAACTAAAGATTCTATGCTAACGAACTAAGGAAAGGAAGCAAAATGAAAGGACTATAGCAGAAGAACCGCACATCATCGCACCGTTCTCCCGCTATTTAAGACCATGTCAATGTTCTCAAATTTTTTGGGATAAAAACTATCAAATTATATAGCCTACATGAGTATGCCCGTATATAATCATGCTATACCTATATATGGTGATAATGTCATGTCATTATGACCATATTAAGGCATGTTGCATATTTTACTCATATATAATTTGACAGTCAGCAAAGGGCTTTACAGTGTTCCAGTTCTGGGGCAAAAATAAATTTTAGATTTTTTCAAACATAAAATAAATATTATTTTTCATTTTGCAAAATGGCTTGACCAAAAGCATCAAAGCGGAAGAGAAAATAGAAATAAAATGGTATTGATAAACAAAAAAATGTCAGTGTGTAGACCTTTGCTCGAGATGCTATCATATAAAGAATGTGACATTGTAATGTAAATTTAATTATAGGATTAATACATGCTTTACAAATATATCTATTTGTAAGGAAAACAGTTTATTTTTGGAAAATTTTATGGCAGCGGTATATGAAATAAAAATATAAATACATTTTTTTTTTCTGAAACTTCTAACTTTTTAGAGCAGAAGTTTGGTATCAGGCCAAAAATTGTATTTACATTTGAGATCATCATTGCTTGAGATCGAGTAGGGGCTCAAGGTAAGATAAGTCTCCCTTGTCTATAGCTTCATACCTCAACCTGTTCATTGACTTGTTTACCTTTTGTCCATTGCTGAGTTTCAAAACGACTTGTTCAGTGGCTTGATCAAATGCAGCAGATTTTAAAAAGGCGTCAGGAATCACATCAACACCCTCTGACAAAGATTAAAAGATAACAACTACAACTTTAATAAGCAGATATTAATAATAATGATGAAGGAATGTTTTTTTTAATTTTTTTTTTGCTGAAATCTATACTAACTATTACTAAAACTATTTTGAACATGATTCCAGTGACTTACCTTTAGTTACTTTGTTAGTCGTCCAATTACTAAGATATTCAGGTAAAACTCTTCCCATATTACCTTAAGAAAACAAATAATTGATAGAGTTTTACAGTCACAAGTTTAAAGTTATAAATGTTTAAGGCGATACCTTCCTATTCAATCCAAGTTAAATAACATGAAATTCACATAACCATTAATAAATCTTTGGGGAAAAAAATGTAGGTAGAGAAAACTTGGTGAAAATAATGTTTGCTAATATGACTGATGATTCTTGAAACCATATTTTTTAAAATAATTCCAATAATTAAAAGAAAGTTACTTAAAAACTAATCAATTCATTTCAGAGTAACATTTATGAAGTTCCCTTGTATTATTTAATATTTTTTTAGAGATACTGTAATATAGAACTTTATTTATGTTTGTGTGACATGCAGTACTGTAGGAATACACAAAAACACAAGGAAAAACCATGGACCTGAAAAAACTAAGAAAGGCAAGAATGCAAACACCAACAAGAAAATGGTAGATTCAAAAAAAAAAAAAAAAAAAGATTACATCATGTTTTTATAAAAAAATAACATTGGGTAATTAATTTTGGAACATATGTCCCTGACTCTATCTTTGCTGGTTCCTTTTATCAGACTACTTTATTCAGACAGTATTATACTTTCTATTGACATTCATTGGCTCTAATGTGCCTTAAAGTATATTAAAAACAATTAATAAATAGAATGCAACAGGTGAAGTTTTATAATACATACCAGACTCAGGGAAGAACTGTACCACTTTCAAACCAGAGTCCTTTCCTAAACAATAAAGAAAATATAAACTTTAATCAAAAAGCAGGTAGACCACAGAAAATAAACTGAAAACATTACTAAAATTCTTATAACAATAATTATAATAATCATGAAAACTTTTAAAGCGCCGGTATCCATTTAAAGAAAACGCTCATGGCATCCCTCCACAAGAAGTAAAAAAATATGACAGACAAAAGAACATTGGTGTTTAAGAACCAGAAAAATTTTAATTACATGAGCCGTACTTGGGTCAGCGTCACTCTCTTTATGTAGCCATGTATGGGGTCCACTCTAGTTTCGACAAACTGAACATTACTTTATTTCTTATAACAATATAATGTAGTAAGTCAAAGGAACCATGGGGTGCACTATAGTTTTGACATATTAGAGCAGGCTACTTATTCTTTGGCTATTTTTCCATGGCGTTTTCCAGGGAAACATACACAAGTGACAGAATATCAGGAAAATAGCCAGGAAAGAGTAGCATACACCTATCACACAGTATGAGGTGCACTCCCGCGAATGGTTGTTGGCACCAGCATTGATTTTTCAAACGTTAAAAAGTATAAAAAAAAATCAACAGTCCCTTATACTGTCTAGATAATTTAGGTTGAGCACACTCATCCTAATACCTATACAAAATTAAAACATCCTGAACTCCTTTTGTAAGAGTAGGAACCTAGTAGTATACTGCAAAACCTCGAATTGAAGCTGAGTGGGCTTAATCTCGGGATGAAGCCCATCTCGAATTGAAGCCGCTCTCTTTAGATTGCAAACTTAGCATCAAAAAGAAGCCCATGGGCTTCTTTTCAAGATAGCAGGTTTCTTTTCAAGATAGTACAGTACATACACGTCAGTACATGAATTCCAGAAAACAAAATAAATTAAATACAAGCTTGGTATGCTACATAGATGCTGTGTGTCAGATTCAGATAAGCCTACAATTATTTTCTTCTTTTTCTACAAGAGCTATTTTAAATCATATATTATACAAATACAAGACTTCCATTCGTAGTATCTGTAGGTACAGTATGTCAGAATCATCCGAGACTATCACAATAGTCCTGCTAAATTGGAACTAGAAATATATAATATTCTGGGTCAATTCCCGTTTTTAAACTCTACATTGTATAATATTAATAAATGACATAATTTTATTACTTCCAACACAGAAAGGCAAGCTAAGGAGGAACAAGGTTCCAATGGTGCAGAATCACAGGGGGAAGGGGGACAAGTTCGCCCAGATATGTTAAGGGGAGGTTGGATTGCAATGTATTCATATAAGTCGAGAAGATCTCTCAACATTCTGCATACTGAAATCACCCAGGTTTTAACAAAAGAACTATGTACAGCTAGAGAACATAATGATAATATCTACTATAAGAAGGTCTTTTCCAGCCATCTAGAGGTACTATTTCCTCAAATATTTTATGAGAGCAGCTTAGCTCAGTCAGCTAAACAGGTAGTAGACACTGTGTGTGAGCTGAACTCCAGGCCCGGGATTTATCAATCTCAGCTTAGCAAATGTCTTAAGTCCAAAAAGATTAGAAGTATCCAAAGCTGATTTATTTATATATTTATTTTTTAACATTTATTCAATTAACATTTATTCAATTAATTAATAAATACATCAAGTGATAAATAAAGTGGACAACATTAAAATTAATTAATTAGGATAAAAAATAGAAGCAAAGCTTGTCTCAATTTGACCCCGACAAAACAAAAAGTGAAAACTAATAATAAACGCATATCAGGTAGACCTACATTTTATATACAAATATACATATATACATATACATATACATACACATATACATACACACACGTACATACATACATACATACACATACACACACTTACATACACACACATACACCCCCATACATTCATGTAAATACACACACACGAACACACATATACATACACACATACACACATGCACACACACACACACAAATCAACATATACACACTTATGCACACATATATGTATATACATACAATATAAATCATCAAAGGTACATATGCAGTGTTTAGATAAGGACATGATGGAACATCGTAGGCTACCCTGAAGCTATTTAACAAATGTACATGTATATATGTTTGAATATCATACATATATACATATACATACACATACACATACACATACATATATAAAATGAAATAAAATATTTAAATAAAGTTAAGATTGGTACATTTCTAAATAATATTTCTTCATCTGCTTTCTAAAAGTGTGGGTACTATGGCAATTTTTGAACTTAACATGAGTATCATTCCATAATTTCGGTCCGTATACAGAAATAAAAAATTGGCTTTTGGTTAGTCTTACAAAAGGAACGTAAAGTGAGTTTAAATTTTTTAAGCAATAACTGTGTATAGGTTTATAATCATGAAATAAAGCTAATATAGAGGTTGGGAGTTGGCCTTTTATGTATTGAAACATAAAACACGCAACTTGTAGTTTGTTTAGATCCATAATTTTTAATATATTTAGTTTTTTAAACAGAGATTCCGAAGGCGATGCAAATGAAGCTAAATCAATTATTCTGACAACACGTTTTTGTAGCTTAAGTAATCTATCCAGGTTCGAAGAATAGTCACAGGCCCATATTAAGTTATAATATTGCAAATAAGGGAGAATAAGAGTATTGTATAAAGTAATTAAAGTGTTGCGTGGGAAGAATAACTTGAGCCT